CAGATTTTATGCATTTCCACCGTGCTTTCATAAACTATAAAACATTGACCTATCTATCTGCTTATTTCGTCTGAATTATCTTGGTGATTAGAAATTTGTTATTCCTTCTTTTTTCATTTTGCTTACTTTTAGGAACACAAGTACTGAATTAATAAATTTTGGTTGTTAAAAATACAAAGGTCAGATGAAGTTCCAAGTCCATCCTCTCGCAGAGGCTGCCCCTGCCGTCAGTGCGTTGGATAGAGTTCCTGTGGTTGCTGCTTTTCTAATACATCTGCATCCAGAGATACATACCTAAAGAAACAAATAGTTTGGGGTTGCTTCTCTTTTAAACACCATAATCCAAATCATATGAAGAAAGTATTGTTCCACACTTTCTTTTCTTCAAGATCTCTCAGAGATCTATCTGCGTCAGGATGCACAGGTCTACGGCATTTTAAATAGTCTTTGTTTGGAAGATGTATCCTCAGCCCTCTTTGGGTCCCTAAGGTTTGTGTGGAACTTAACTATTAAGTAATCCAAAGGTGTGATTTCAAGTCAGTTCAGAATATGCTGTCCCTACTTTAAGCCTGGCACTGTGAATCTTGAGCGAATGAGGTTATTACCCCTGCCCTGGAAGAAAATGTCAGATATTTCTTGAAAGTGGGAAGGAGGTAATACATTCAAGGACTATTAACTCTTCTGCCGTATCATACATTTAATGTTTTAGAAATAAGCTGTTCCACTTTAAGAACAAAATTATTTAAACTGTAGGCTCCAAGATCTAGAAACTGGATGGAACCTCAGGAAGTCATCTTTGTCTATCTTCTACCTTTAGACATTTAACTCAGGACGGAAAATGGAGTCTCAGGGAAAATGAACACTCAGTTGAAACTGTCTGCATGCCCAGAAAGAATCTAATGTTGCCTCAGAATCTGTTATTGTGGTGCAGCTGTTTCATTCCTCGGCATGTGTTTGGTATCTTGAATTTTCTTTATTATTTATCTAAGGAGGAGTCTCCTTAGTTTTCAAATAAAAGGCTTGGTCAGTTTACTAACCTGTAACAGGGAGGTGAACAGCAAGTTTGTGGAAATATCTGTTAAGAGGTAGAAGCGGGCTGGGCGCGGTGGCTCACGCCTGTAATCCCAGCACTTTGGGAGGCCGAGACGAGTGGATCATGAGGTCAAGAGATCGAGACCACCCTGGTCAACATGGTGAAACCCCATCTCTACTAAAAATAGAAAAAACTAGCTGGGCACAGTGGCGCATGCCTGTAATCCCAGCGACTTTGGGAGGCTGAGGCAGGAGAATTGCCTGAACCTGGGAGGCGGAGGTTGCGGTGAGCCGAGATCGCACCATTGCACTTCAGCCTGGGTAACAAGAGCGAAACTCCGTCTCAAAAAAAAAAAAGAAAAAAAAGTTAGAAGCTTTCTCTCTGAGAGGCCAGGCGGGGCAGATGTTTGCACGGTTCTGAGACCGGCCTCATCAGTGATGCTGCTAAATACTGCCGCGGTTTTAGGGAGGGCTAAGAGGAACCCCACTCATTTTTTTGTACTCATCTTCTCTTTGTACAGGTGCTCACATTTCTCTGAACTCTGTGCTTGGGTTTCTAAGATTACCAGAAAGGGTCAGACTGTCGGGGCGTGTTTGATGTTCTAACTTCGTTTGCTAGGATACATGTAGGACTCCAGGTGAGGCCGAAGATGCAGAGCAGAGCTAAATTCTCCCAGACAGCAAAAATCAGCCCACAAGAAGGAGGCAGTCTTCTGTCTGCAGTTACAGCTCCACCGGTCCTAGGTCCCAGCAGACAGGGTACAAGGCAGGGAGAGCTATTAGAAACACTTATCCTGTCTCCAACCAACACTGAGTTTTCACAGAACAATTGTTGGAATGTAAGGAGAATGTCTTTCTTCTCTGAGACAAGAAAGGCAATTTTAAAAATAAATTGAACTACTGAAGAAATAATATTTGATAATGCAAAGTTTGACTCAAAACACCTGAAGTACATAAGTTTAAAAGGACAGTTATGTCTTAAATAAGTTTATTTTAGATACAAGAAAATGTGTTTAAAATAACACAAGATATATTGGAAACTAATTCTCAGCATCATAGAAAGATCTTCCATGGGTAATTTAACATGTAGTATCTCATTGATGCCCTCATATTTTTACTTATTTATTCTTAAAACATGCCATTTTTGGTTGTTTTTAGGAAAAACATTGTTTTTGGATTCTTGAATCATAAAATATTAGAGCTTCTTGTTCATGTAGCTGAATTATCCCAGATAATGTCACAAGCATGTAAAGAGACATCTTAGTAGTACTAGAAATTTTAAATGCGTTGTTAAAACACACATAACTAATAAAAATAAGGCAGAATCCATCTATGACTGAGAAAATTCTCTGTAAATTCCATCGTTTTGTTTTGTTTTAATTTGAACTTTTTAATAAGCAAGCAATATTTTAGGTCAATGCAATTTGATTTGCATTCACAGAAGTATTTTCCTCCTACACCACAGACATAGGAAATACTAATAAAAACCATGCTGTGGAGCCTGCCAAGGCGATCTTCTTTATTATGACCCTGCCTTCTGCGTGCAGAAATCATCTAGGTATATTCCTAGCCTCTAGACAATGTATATTACATGTCTTATCAAAATCAAATACTCTGATCTAGTAACAATAGTATTTTTCATTTTAATTTATAAACAGATGGTATTTATGAGTCATTTTATGCAAATGGAGTGTCACTGAAATTTTACAAAATGAAAAAAACAATTCTCTAAGCCAGAAAACTTTTACCAAAATAATGTCAGATAACTCTGTTGGAACCTATGGCTACTCTTTCTGACATTGCTATGGTTTGAATGTGTTCCTTAAAATTTATGTGTTGGAAACTTAATTCCTAATGTAACAGTGCTGAGAGGTGAGACCATTAAGAGGTGATTAGGTCATGAGGGCTCTGCCCTTGTGAATAAATTAATGTCATTATCATGGGAGTGGGTTAACTATTGTGCAAGTGGGCTCCTAATCAAAGGATGAGTTTGGTCCTTTCTCTCTCACCCTCTCCTTGCCCATCTGCCATGGAATGGCACAAGAAGGCCCTCATCAGATGAGGCCCCTTGATCTTGGACTTCTCAGCCTCCAGAACCATGAGCCAAGTGAATTTATTTTCTTAATAAATTACCCAGTCTCAGGTATTCTGTTATAGCAGCAGATTAAGACAGACATCAACAAAATAATCAAAGATATACAAAAATGTCAGTTTGATTTTTTTAATGTCTCTTACTTTCTATGTAGTGCACCATGAATTTGTGATTTATAAAATGTGTTCTTGAAGCAATTTAGAGATTAATTGGAAGCAATTGAGAATTTAATCCATCTCACTTTCAGGGCAGTAAGATTAGATTAGTTTACTCTATGAAATTCAATAAAGGACTCCTTTCATTTGGGCTCAGTTTATCTTCCGCTAATTCCTAGCAGTGCAATCTGGAGTTTCTGAGGCAGGGTGGACATACCTCTGCTTGCGTCAGCTACCTACTTCATGAGCTGCATGTGCCCCTCCGAGCCTTGGCGTCCTGCACTTGAGTTTCAGCCCTCTGGAGCTTTATTTGTTGCAGAGAGTGCCTGAGGAACCCTGTCCCGCAAAAGTAGACGGAAGACCATATGTGTTAAACCATAGCCCATTCCAAGCTGCCCTTGAGGGAGAGGGGCTAATGCAGGACTTTGAAGGCGGAGTAGAAGAAAGAGTCTGGAAAATGCTTTGGAAAATGGCAAAGCAGTCCAAAAAGATTTTAGTTTTATGTCTGTTTAGGGAAGACCAAATATCAGACAGGATGTAATGTGACATTTAGATTTAATTCTGTTGATGATTTGCAGATTTGGAAATATACTTCCTAGATTGTCCAGTGTCCTTGGGAGCTGGATCTACCCAGGAGTGGTAGTTGCTTAGAAGAAATGAACTATGAAAAAAAATTACTGTACTTTCACAGTCTGGAGCTCAAGAAAAATGTAGTGACAAGGTGTGTTGACCGCCTCTCATCCACAGGAGGAAAGACCAGGCCAACCTGGATTTCCACTTTACATCTACCACTGATGAGCTGTGTGACCTTGGACAAGTGAACTAACCTCTCTGGTTCTGTTTTCTCATCTGCAAAATGGTGCTAATATTAATAATAATAGCTATATTCATGAAGATTTAATTCATGCCAGGGATTGTTCTAGAAAGATGTATTAACTTAGTCATCACAGCAATTTTTGAGTTTAGAATCACTGTTAACTTCTTGTTCCATTGAGAAAATTAAGGTTTGGTGGTTTTTTTGTTTCTTTTTTGAGATGGAGTCTTGCCCTCTCACCCAGGCTGGAGTGCAGTGGCACTATCTAGGCTCAAGCAGTTCTCATGCCTCAGACTCCTGAGTAGCTGAGACTTCTGGCACGTGTCACAATGCCCAACTAAGTTTTGTATTTTAGTAGAGACAGGGCTTCACCATGTTGGCCAGGCTGGTCTTGAATTCCTGACCTCAGGCGTTCCTCTTGCCTCAGCCTCTCAAAGTGATGGGATTACAAGGGTGAGCCACCACATCTGGCCAAGTTGAGGAAACCAAGGTTTAAATGAGTTAAGGGAGTGGCCTCAGCTTATACAGCTAGAAATGCAGAGTCAAATGTCAGCTCAACATGTCTAGACCCAAGGAATGTGTTCTGGCCTACAGCACCATGAGACACAGGCGAACATTAGCCGAGGCCAGGGACCAGGAGCTGGACTGGATCCCCACAAGCTTCCATCACTTACAGACTGCAAAGGTGCCAAGCAATGGAGCCTCTCATGTAAACCAGGGATAATTATGGGATCTGCCTCATGGCGCTTCTGTGAGGCTCAACTGAAGTAATATTTGTCAACTCAGAACAGTGTTTGCTAAGAAGTAGGTAACTATTTAAGAGTGCAATTAGTATTATGTTAGAACTTATACTCCCTAATGATATGGGTTTGAAGCAAAATTTAATTCATACATATAAATTACTTACCTGTACGCAGTAACTACACAATAAATGATTCCTTCTGGGATATTTTGTGCTAAATATGAGGCATGGATTAGGTGCTGGTGAAGTGCAGACCACAGGGCCCAGGGCTACCTGCTGTGGAGCTCACAGTCTAATGGAAGGAAGAAGAACAGTTTTAATTTTATTTTTTCCAAGGTATCAGAAAGTTATGTCTTTAAGCAGGCAGATTTCTCACCTGCATGTAATAATACTCATGCAATAGGATAAATGGATTGAGGAGTATTCTCAGGCTCATCTTTTCTCATAGCCTTGTAGAGAGAATCCTGTGGGTACAGCCTCCATTTCTACCCCTCAGCCACCATCAGCAGGATGACTGAATCTGACATAGAGGGTGGGAGAAACTGAGTAATCTCCATAATAAAACACCAAGTGAAAAGGGAGGGGAGAAAGCAAAGTGCAATCTTCAGAACACAGCAAGGGCATGCACATGTGTGCATGTGTTGTGTGTATGTGTGTATATGTACACATGTGTTTTGTGAGTGTGTGCTGTGTGTGTTGGGGGCTGAGGTGGTCCCAATGCAGCTGCAGGGTTTAGGGAAGGTATAAGATAAGAAACAAAATTAAGTAAGTATTGCAAGGATCTGTATCATCTTTCTTGTTGTTAAAATACAGGAGTAAAAGAACTCTTTCCCTCTCTTATTAATTTTGGCTCACTAATTGTGTTTGTGCAAGTCACACTCCTTGGAGACCAGATAACCATGTGGTTTTATGGCGTATGGAACAGGGTATTTGCCAGGAGCCTTGCTGGCCCATTTGTTGAAGAGAGACTGTCAGGTTCTGCCTGTCCTCGATCATGACCCTAAAGCAAATAAGATTGTTCCAGTCTTGGGGAGCCCAGCCACATGTTTGCTTGGGCATCAGTGGGTTCTTTGTCTAGTCTCAGAGCCTTCAATGCAGAGTATGCAGGCATGCATGATTTTCCAATCTTAGACCACAGTGGCCTCTCTGACATTGGCAAGAACTATTGCAATCACAGGGGTTAGATTCCACAAACACTAATGTACAGCAGTTTCCCAAATTTCCCTGATGGTGAAAAAAAATGATTCCTGGGGTCAACCTAGCAATACTGAAGCAGAAGTTCCAGAGGAAACGTCCAGAAATGTTTGACCAATGTCACAGGCAACTTTTATCAGTAAAGTCTGAAACAATGGTGTGTATGTTTCCAGCATTGCCAAAGCTCCCTACTCCATGAAGAAGCTACGTGTCTTTCTTGATGGAGGTACTAGCCACCTCTGGTGACTAAAGTTGAAGATGAGAGACGAAGACCCATTCCCCCACACCCAACTTAGCAGCACCAAAGATCATTATCTTTGAGGGCATAGTTAGTTCAGGTAGAGCAAAGCTACGCTGTAGACACAGTTGTAGATGTCTGCTTGCCCTTCCTGACCTCCTCTTCTCACGTTCCTCTCTGAGTCACTCACCTGCTGCCTCTGGGCTCACTGCCCTTTTAAACTCCTGAGGTCAGCATCTTAAATGTGATACCTTAAAGCCCCCAGATGAGCTCACCACTAGATCTTCTGAAAGCAAGTTTCTCGATAGAATATATCAGTATCCTGGCAGCAGCTGGAGGATCAAAGTTAAAACTCTTGTACCATACAAGTGGAGATTCCCTGCCTGGGGCTTGTGATACCCCTTCAACTGACTGTTGAGTATAACTACCATGCCTTCCTTTGCTCACCTAGAACAGTGTGACCTTAATTCAGAGGTTGCCATACAGGATTGTACTGAGAACCTGTGAATCTTCTTAGAGTATTTTTAGTTGAAAAGTATTGTGGAATTTTATTAGTTTTCTATTGCTGTGTAATAGTACTACTACAAACTTAGCCACTCAAAGCAGCACACATTTATTATCTCACAATTTCTATAAGTCAGAAGTCCAGAAACTACTTAACTGGGTTCTCTGCTTAGAATCTGATAAAACTGCAATCAAGGAGTAGGCCATGGTCTCATCTGAGGCTTGACTGGGGAAGAATCTGTTTTCTAACTAAGACTGTTGAGAGAATTTAGTTTCTTGAAGCTGTAGAACTGAAAACTTCCATTTTTTATGGCTGCTGACCAGAGGCCACCCTCAGTTCCTTGGCATGTAGGGTCTTCCAACATGACCACATGGCACATCAAAGTAAGAAAGTGAGGAGGGACCCCAGCAAGATTGGTGCTACAATCTTATGTTACATAATCATATACATGTAATCACATATATCTTGTCCCCTTTGTCATACTCTATTGATTAAAAGAAAATCACAGGCCTTGCCCACATTCAAGGAGAGCATCAGCAGATGACTAGGAGGAGGGTTACCTTATGAGTTTGTGAAAGTAGTGATCACTAATTAGAATGTCTGTTCAACCCCAAAACAACACTACTTCTCTAAGATGTGGGTTATCTGTGGCAGCCATGTGTGTGCTGTGGGACCCCACACCCTGACCAGAGTTAATTGATGGGCAGGCAGAGACCCAGCTCAAAGTGAAGCAATCAGATTCTGCCTTCCAGGGTTTGAGCACTAGAATTTACAAATAGTCAGTTAGTCTGGGCTATTTTCCTTTATGGAAGAAGAGACAACTATTTGTTGGGTTATCTTTTTCCAACATGTACATGTGGGACAGAAAGAACAAAATTGGAGCAGAGAGAAAGATGAAGGTTATCTGCAGAGAGAAAAAATAAAAATTAGAGATAGAGAAAACAATTCACTTGGGTTTCCAGTGACAATCTTGTTTATGGTTCCAGGTTCTCATGTAACACAGTGATGTTTTAGTTCCAGAACTCTTTCAATATCCTGTGAGTAAATCTTCTCTTGCTTAAGCTTGTTCAAGGCAGCTCCTGTTCCTTGTCAAGGTAAAGAAGCCTGACTAAATTAAGATGTCAGAGTGGGCCTTATCTCTTCCTCACATATAACCTCTCCAGCTTTCATCCACCTGCCCACACATCCATCCACCTAATAGATATTTCTCTACTCCCTCATATGGGCCTTGCATTGTCCTGGATGCTGGGATACAACAGCAAACAGGACTTCAGCTTTCTACCCTCACCACCACATAACCTATGGAGATACCAGGCAGGTAAGCAGAGTGCCAGGTGGGAGGTGCTGAGGAGCACAGAAGAGAAGCAGGTGTATGAGCCTGGGGACGAGATCTCCAGAAAGGCTCCCAAGAGGAAGTGGCTAAGCTGAGATACAAGAAGCAAGTCAGGACTAAGCAAATGAAGGGGACAGCAGAGACAATTGTACCAGGCAATGGGAACAGCATGTGTGGAATGGACGAGGCAAATCTGAACAGGCTGGGAGCAGGAGCAAGACACGTCTGCAATCAGAGAGCTCAGTGTATGTAAAGAGATCTTCCATGGAAATGGTGAGAAAGCTGACTTTCTTTATATCTGTCCCCCTAAACCATTACCTCTTTGAAGCTAGGCACTGTAATTTTTTAAAAATTATAAACACTTAGCTTGCCATTAGAGATTTATTAATTTAAAAGTATGTGTCTAAGCATTTTATCTACTTTTTCACTTGTATAAATTAAAAGGTACTCTCTTCAATGTAGTAATCTATGATCTCTGACAATGCATGCAGCTAAATAACCATCCCCAGTACCAAAATAGAGAATAGTTTCATGACTGAAAAAAATTCCCTCATGCTGCAGTTTTACGGTCAGCCCCTCTCCCCACTCCCTGGCCTTGCTAATATTCTATATGTTCAATATTTCATTTACTCTTCATATCTATTATTCGACTTTATGGAGCAGGAAACCAAGGATCAGTGGATTGTTGTCTTCCTTCTTTCTCTGGCTTCATTCTGGAAATTGCATGATGCTGTATCTGTGAAGTTAAGGGGCCTGTTCTCTCAGATCACCAAGGAAGGCACTCACATTTGTCAGGTCACACACAAAACATCAAGTCAGTTCAGAAAATTGTACCTTGTTTTCTAAGACTTGAGCTCTGTGCTGAAAGGATATAAGAACAGAAAACTGGCATTATCTCTGGGACAGATCTGCCTTTCCTGGCCTTCTGCTGTGGGGCCGAAGGCATGCATTTCATGAAGCCAATAAAATGCACCTTGTTCTCAAGAAATGTTACAACAGCTGGCTTCCAGATCCTCTGATTGTTATGTCTTTTTTGAGAAGTATCCATTAATTACTTTTAATCATCTCTTGATTTTACCAGGAAGGTCATTATTTCTACAGGGAACTTACGAACAGATCTGGGAGTGTTTTCATGTTGTTTTTTTCCTGCGGTGTGGTGTAACTTTCTTTGTCATCAATACATACGTCAAAGCAGGCTAACCAGAGTTTTTCCTCTGCCACAGCATATGGTTGGGTCATGCAAACAACCATCGTAAATCCTCCTTGACAGTGCCCCAAAATGATATCGTGACCTGGTCCCGGTGGAATCCAGATTTATGAAGATCTGAATGTGAGAACTGAGTGTTAGAAGCATGGGTTTTTGAAAATGTGCCACAGGAATACGTCTGTCTATTTATATGGCTACTTGCCTCCATATGTGGCCAGTGAATGAAAAATATGTGCAGAGGTATTTGAAAAATTCTTGAGGTGCCTGAATAAGACTGCCTGGTCCCTGGAGCAGAGTCAGCACCCAATAAATATTCCCTGAGTGAGTGAGTAAATGGATGGATGAAGGAAGTGGAACTTGGGTGAGTTATAAAGGCATCTCATTTTTCTAGAAAGTAGCTCACTAGTATAAGGGCATACTTGATTACCTTTTTACTTCTGAAAGCACCCAGTTTTGTTCCATAAATCTCTGTATCCTCAGTCCCAGCAGTAACTCTTAGTCTAAGCCAATCAGATCATGGCATTTTTCATGGAGCCTATGACGGGTCTGGGAAGATGCATGTGACCTCTGTTGGCCCAATCAGATTAAAAGGGATGAGTTTTAAGTTCATGGCATGAGGAGAAGTTTTCCATTTCTTTCTCTGGGAACAGGCAAGGGATGTCTCTCTATTTGCTGCCCTAGGGCTTTTCCCTTCCATGCCAAGATCCTGTCTAGGCTGCCCCATTTACCTTATGACCTTGGCAGGAACCATTTTGGGTTTGAGCCTAGTCGTGTGCAAAAGAGAGAGCAGAAACTCATCTTATCCTAAATGACACAGTTGAAGTACCAGACATTCCTGGAGAAGACCAGTATGCTGGACCAGATTTCACTCTTGGTGTTTGAGAGAGCAATTTCCTTCTGGTTACCTTATGTTGGAATTTTTGTTGCTTTATCCTGAAAACAAAAAGCTAAAGTAAAAGTCTGAAGTTGAGAAAAGAATAAGGAAGAAAAGGCTCAGTTATTTTGTGTTGTTTTGATCAGTAATAATAGCAACTTCTGCATGTAGAATACACATGAGGATCACTGTTAGGTCCTGTCTTTCATTGTATGTATCCACACCCCTGGGAGGTGAGTACTGCTATGCTGGTTTTACTCACCTCCTTCAGGTAAGATTTGCCCACCTGGAAAAGAAGTTTTCCTCCTTTTCTAGTGGTGTTGTGAGTCTTTTTCTTTCCCCTGATTAGTTTTTGCACTGGTTTCCCTGCGATAAAGAGAAAAAGAGGTTTCCATTATTATGTACTCTACAATCTGTCACGTCTTCATCCATTCATACTATTGTCCCTCTCACTGGTTCATGAAATTTAGAAAATAGCTTAGCAGTTATTCCTTTTGCAGTTACTATAAGCAGGGTGTAGGCATGGAAGAAAGAGAAGAGGAATGACGAGGTCTGCTTTGCTTATGCAAATTTTACAAGGAAACATGAAACAACCCTTGCCTACAAAGATCTTATCCTCTAATCGGGACACCAGGGCAGGGCATTTCAGGGTGATAGGAGACTTGAATCGATAAAAATACAAAATTCTGTTAGCCATCAAAAACTAGCATGTCATTAATTCTTTTTTTGTTTTTTGTGTTTTTTTTTTTTTGAGATGGAGTTTTGCTCTTGTTACCCAGGCTGGAGTGCAATGGCGCCATCTCGGCTCACCGCAACCTCCGCCTCCTGAGTTCAGGCAATTCTCCTGCCTCAGCCTCCTGAGTAGCTGGGACTACAGGCACGCGCCCCCATGCCCAGCTAATTTTTTGTATTTTTAGTAGAGACAGGGTTTCACCATGTTGACCAGGATGGTCTCGATCCCTTGACCTTGTGATCCACCGGCCTCGGCCTCCCAAAGTGGCATGTCATTAATTCTTGATGAGAGGAACATCATAATAACTTTCAAATCCAGACTTTGGCTTTGGTCTCTTCCTCCACCATCATCTTTTGCCTGGAGGCCTTCAGTGGCTTCCAGATTGGCTTCCACCTTGTCTACTGTCGGACTGGTTCTTCACACGGAAACTAGAGAGATTTTGTGGAGAAGCAAAGCAGACCGTGTCATTCTTCTGCTCTTTCTTGCATGCCTACAAGAGTCTGCCCAGGGGATTCCTCCAACCTCTGCAGCCTTGTCTTATGCCATGCCCCTCCAATTCATTCTGTTGCTTTCCTTTTGGGAAATTTCCAGCCCTACCAAGAAAAGGTCTTTACATATGCTGTTCCCTCTTTCTGGAACACCCTTTTCTCTTTAGTCAACACCTATTTATCTTCCTTCCAGTCTCACTTCAAGCATCCCATCCTCAGCAAAGCCTTCTGTGACCTCCCTGTGTTATGTAAAACCTACAGCAGGGTCCCATAGCACTAGGAATCTTTCCTCTGGGCTTGTCCCAGTTGCAGCTCTACAGTTTGTGTCATCATTTAAAACACACCTCAAGATAGGGAGGGATCTTATCTATGTTTAGGAGCTATTGGATCTCCAGAGCTTGACAAAGCATGTGGCGTGTGGTAGATGCTCAGTAAATATTTGTTGAAAGACAGAATGAGTATATAAACATGCAATTCATGCTCACTTTGTGGCAGGCACCATGCTACAAACCTAACCATATTGTCATTTACTTCCTAGAACTCTTTTTAGTTCCCCTCTATGAAAGAAGCACTATTGTTGTCATTCCCATTTTATAGTTTGGGTCCCACCAAGTAAGTGATACACCTGGGATTCCAGCTAGGCACATGGCTTACGTACTGAACTCTTAACTACTGGCCTCTGCCACGTCTCACAGAGAAAAAAAAGTTCTGGAAGGTCAAAGGAAGGAGAAGCTTTGTAAGAAAGCAGGAGTTTGGGCTAGTCCCAAAAGACAAGCTGGCTTCATCCAGAGAGGGGATAAGAAGGAGGGGTGGTGCAGAGGCACACTGCTAACCTAAAGGCACTTTTGAGCAAGGTTCCCTTCTTGGTAGGTGAATTAGAAAAAGATGCCCTGTCCTTCCTGCAAGAACTGGCTTAATTTCAGTTTTCACTTTCTGACTCTCTGGGCCACCCCAACCCCCGCCTTTTTTTTCTTTTTTTCTTTTTCACTGAACAAATCACTCAGCCATATGCAGCACTCTGCAGGCATGAAGACTTAGAGGCAAAAAAGCAAGAAGTAAAAAACTCCATCTGGCTAAAGTGGAGGCTTTCTGAGGAGATATAAAAGTCTAAGACTTGTGCCATCTGATATAGTAGCCACTAACCACACATGGCTATTTAAATTTCAGTGAATTAAAATTCAATGCAATTAAAACATCTGTTCCTCAATTATATTATCCGCTTTTTAAGTACTCAATAGCTGCCTACAGCTGATGGCTGCCAGAGTGGAAAGCAAAAATATAAAACATTTCCATTGCTGGGGAGAGTTCCATTGGACAGCTCTGGTCTAGAAAGCAAGGTGGAGCCATCGTTTTTAAAAAGTTGCCCAGTCTGTGTGCATGCCATGGGCTATGAGGAGTCATGAAAGGGTCTGAACCAGGGAAGTGGTGTGATGGAAGTATAGTGCCAAGAGAAGTAGTACTATCATTTTATTGAGGGAGAGGCGTGTTAAGTATCTCACAAGCATGATTGCATTGAAGGTAGGTACTATCATATCCCCATTCTATAGACAAGGAAGTTGTGACACAGTGAGGTTAAATAACTCATACACCTCCAGGTGTGTCTGCTCCCAGAAGGTTCTACCTTATACCATGCTCCGAGCCTGTACTCTAATCGACATGATGATGGGAGTGTATTATTCAAAAAAGCAGAGCTCAAGTTCAGAGACGCCAGCTTGGCAGCTCTGGAGGCATGAAATGATAATGACTTCAACTAGGGGGTCAAGAGCTTCCTTCGCAGCAAACTTCAGAGGTTTCTTGTTCTTTGCTCCTGGCCTATAGTTTCCTCCCTTCCTCCCTAACCATTAATCGCAATCGCTTTCATTTTCTTTGGAATCATCTTTGCTTATCCTCTTGTTGGTGTTTCCAGAGAAAATTGTGTTTGCATTAGGTTTTATCCTAATAAATTTTTATCCCTGGGAGGACGTCTCCTGCCTCATCCTGCTGTTAGGCCTCTTCCTAGAGATCCCAGGACACAGCTGGAGAGCTTGTGTGGGCCCCACCACAAGCCAAGCCGAGAAATCCCATCTGGAAATGTGCGTGGCAGAAGCTTTCCCTCTCCTTCCAGTTCTCCTAGTGAATGGAAATGCACCCATGTGTCCCATTTCCTGCTGGGACATGGGGCCTTTTTGTTTCTTTGGCCTCCTGGTGTTGAAGTATCAGCTATAAACTTTCCTGGGAATTACTTCTATCTTCATTGCCTGGTCCAGCAAACTTTAGTTTGTGACTATTTCAGCTTTAGTGAGGTCTGTCAAATGATGGAGGTGGATTGACCCTCCCTGGGTCTTATAAAGAGAATTGGTTTCTGATCCCCATTACTCTCCCCAATACTCCTGAGGAAGTCTGTGAGAGAAACCCTTAAACGATGATCTATGTGTGACAGCTGGGGAAATTGAGGCATTGAAGGAGGAGAGAATTCCACATGCATCAAAATTAAAAAACTAGAAAGAAAACCATGACATCCAGGTTGCCTGGTCATGCTTTAACCACAACCCACACTCGCCTGTTTAGTTACAACAAACACAAAAGAGATAAACATAGATGTAAGTTAGTCTAAACACCAAATTTTAGAAGTTTTTCCTCTGATGTCTAGTCAGCTATCCTGACCTTTATTGGAGGATAAACCAACTTGCAACAGCTGTGGATAATTATTTACTGTAAGTCAGAGACCAAAGGGCTTGGATAATGAAGTGAATTCAGCATTAGAAGGAGAGAGATTTGCTGAGCACCAGAAAGTTACCTTTTAAGTTGATTCCTGAATTTCAAAGATCAGGAGGTACCAGGTTCACTATATAAGAGTTGCTGGAAAAGCCCAGGATGTGCTGAGCTGTGGAGCTTTGTTCACATGTGAGGGGTTTTACAAAAATGTGCAGCCACACCTGGCCCTTCCTCAGCCTGGAATCATCCAAGAAGATACTTTCTGCAGATGCTGCTGAGATGACACATCCCTTGGTGTCCATAAAAGTGATCTACAGCTGGCTGTGAGTTACCCAGCCATCTTGGCTACTCAATAAGAAACAGATTCGGATTCCCTCACTCAGGCTGTCAGATTTTACAGCTGTCTGAGGGTCTCTGGCAGGGTGGCCTCTCAGCAAGACACTGCTGAAGCGGGGCTCAAACATTTGGCAGTCAAGGGAGGGACAAAAGCTTTGCATAATTTGGGAGTGAGTTCAAAGCCAATAACATTTACACTCCATGCCAAGAAAGCATTTTAAAGCCAGTGAGGTGCCTCTAAGCCAATAAGGTGTTATTACCTTTAAGAACATCCCTTTGGCCCTTTGATAATAAGCGTTGTTTTAAAGTATTTGAAAATACCATTCACAATTTAAAACAGGATATATCACCTCCACACTTTAAACATCCAAAAAGAAAAAGAAGTCTTGATTGACCTTTATCCACTTCCATTATGGACAGACAGTCCTCCAGACGCAACACAAGACACACACAAACACACACACACACACACGCTTCCTTATCCTCACCTGTGCTGCGAAAGAATAGGATCTGGCCACTCCAAGTGTGGCAAGAGGAGCAATGAGGCTAATCAAGTTCCTCTCCAGGAGCCTCATTCCTAAAAGCCAGCCTACAGTACAGGGAAAAACTTGCCGCCAGGGTTCCCATGCCTCACATAAGGTTCAGCCCCCAGGATGCTTTCCAGAGCAAGGCCTCTGCTGAGAACTCTGTGTTCTAGAATTTTAATTAAACAGACCACAAAACCCACTTGCTCCCAAGTTGAATTCTAAGTTTGAACTTGAGAACAACAGAAGGTAGGGAAACGTGATCATTGGCCTGGGCAAAATGGTTGAGCACAGAATAGCTACAGTGTAAGGCAAAAATTAAGAATACAGAGTCTAGAGCTAGACAGCTTAGGCTCATATCTTGATTCTGCTACTCCCTGGCTGTATGGCGTTGGGCCCATTCCTTGTCTTGAGATTGGTGAATCCCTGTAACTTGGAATCATGACTCAGAACTGGGGGTAACCTTTGAAGACCCTCTTGTTCTACCATTATCCCATTAGACTCAGCCATAATGATCAATGAGGAGACCCAAGAATTCCCAGTTCTCAGCCCATCACTATTTCCATCTGAGTGGACCACGAGGATGTGCCAGTGGCAGAAGAAGAGGAAGGCAGGAGATCTCCTGAATCTTTTGCCAGAAACCTTAGCCTAAACTGGAAAATATCTGAGGGTGGCTGGATGGACAGCAGAGCTGAAAACTCTATGTGAGCTCTTTGAAGGCTGATGAACAGCTAAGAAACTGCTTCTTATCCATCTCCCTCCTTCCAGGATTCAGTCTCTGGTCTGTGGAGTAAGAACTACCATGCTGCATTCTGTTGTTTCCTGTCTGAAGCATGTAGTTCACCATGGAATACATGGTCCTTTTCCAGCAGTCCTATATACTTGCCCAATCTCAACTCCCATCCCACACAACCCCTCTGTCTGACCACACTGACCATCTGCTGCCTAACACGTCACACATATGCATGACTCCACACCTAGACGTGCTTTTCCCTCTACTTGCAATGTTCTTCCCCCTTTTCAAGTCCCTACTCGTTCTTCAAGATTAAGACCAATGTTAACTCTTCTGTAAGGTTTTCATATACAGGATCACTAATTCTAATCATAGAGAAGTTGAGTACTGTGCTGAACCCTTTTTTTATGATTATCTCATTTATTCATTGAATCCTTACTGCAGTCTAATGAAGTAGATCCTGTTATGATCCCCATTTTAAGAAGAGGAAACCAAGGCTCACAGGGGTTAAGTAATGCCCAAGGCCACGCAGCTAGTTAGAGAGCCAGGTTCAAGCCCAGCTCTAATTGATTCTAGAAGCAAATTCTCCCCGCATAGGTCTCCCAGTGAACTGTACTGACTCTCCCGGTGAACTTGACTTACGCTTTGGTTACATCATTTTCCCAGTTTAACTTTCTCTCCCCTACTAGATTAAAAATCAAGTTGGATGTGAGACTCATTTTTATCTCTAATACTTAGCTCACTGCTTGGCCCACAATAGATACTTAATATAAATGTGCATAAATCTGTTAATGGAGAAATGAATGACTAGATGAAAGGATGAATAGTAGAAGAAAGGAAGGGAGGGAGGGAGGAAGGAAGGAAGGAAAGAAGGAAGGAATAAAAGTATGTTACTCCCTCAAAGGTACGTATTATAAAACAAAGCAGCCTTTTCCAAGTACATCAAACATTATGTTCTGTAGAGAAGAATTTTAAGGCTGTCTGAAAAAATGTGCCTAGATATTCAATACATATTTTTTACTGACTCTGGCCTTATTAATGGTAGAAATTCATAGGAAGTCAAGTCTATACTGTATGCACCTAAGACCAGAGATGAGGAGTCTACAAATGTTAGACACAGCAAAAAATATCTGGGCCTGGCCATGACCTTGAAGAATGGAGGTATTATGCTCTCTGAGCTCAGTCTTTCTGCTTGGAATAAAGCCAAAACTAAAACCCAAAACCCCACCTTTATGTACTTCTCACGATTTGAATGCCTTGCCTTTTGCTACGTCCTCCCTGGGAGAAGTCTTATCAATAGACTTCAGACAGGTAAGCTTGCAGCTGCTCCACATTCAAGTGTTTAGACTACATCTAAACTTTTTTTTTTTTTTTTTTAATATAACAACTTGCTTATTAGGGATGCATAAATAGATCTAGAGAAAATGAGAACAGATCTAATCTTCGGGTAAAAATATATAAGGCACCAAACAGACTCATTAGAGAAGGTTCAGAAGTCAGTGCCTGTGGCTCAGAGTTCAAATTGGCTTGGCCAGAACAAGCCTCCTCTCAGAACAGATGAGCAAATGTGGTTATCACTCAGTGTTTTCAGAGCATAAAGATACAGCCTGAGAGGCAAACTGTGTTTCCAGCTAGAGAAGAATCAGGATTATAAGTGACATGTGAAAATATCATCTCGTGATCTGCAAGGCCTAAATGCTTTGGGTGGTGTTGTGTCTGGAATTTCTTTGGGACAAGCCATGACCAGCTATGAAGTCATTCCTAGTCGGTCTGTGACAGGAGCATAACCCAGGGCCTTGCCTTGGTGTACCCTAAAAATGGAGAGGCTGACTACTCACGCAATTGGAGGCAGATGGGAGGTTGCAAAGCTGGGTAAAAAAGAAGCTTTCTGCCATCTGTCTTTGACCCAAAAGGGGATAAACTCAGACCAAGTTTTACAAAGACCGCCTGAATGATTTACGTTGAGCAGTTCCCATTGATGGCCAAGCAAAGATTTTGCTTCAGTTCTAAGTACATATCCTTGCTTTGAGTGGATATCTGAGGCTGTTTTCTGTCCCGACTTTGTCTGGTTTCATTTTGGAAGAAAATATGTTTATATAAAGCAATGCCCTGTGCATTCCCCCACATCCTAAATATGAAAAATAATCACAGCTTCCACTTACGGAGTGTTAATTACATGTGAGAGACTCTGACAAGTGCTTGATATGACCCTGTCTCATTTAATCTTCACCAGCAAGCCTGGGAGGCAGAGGTGCTTGTTCACCTGCTTTATGGATGTGAATAAGGAGACATCCCAGTTATTCAGTGGCAGAAACAAGACCTGTGTTCAGGACTTGGTTTAAGGCCAAACTCCAGTAAATGTTACTGGAATGCAATTCTCCCCAGCTTTTCATATATTTGTTTAAGTCTCCCCGAGGTTATAGATGATCAGGGCTGTATTTTGCCCTTCTGTGGGGATCACACAGCGCAATGGACATACTAACAGCTAAATGCATTGATGAAACCCCCTTTTTTTTTTCTTAATGAAAAAGACAGATAGGAAATTTTTCAGGTGGTGAGTGTGATCCATGCATGAAGTGGGACAGAAATGAATCAAGAAAGAAGTTACATCAACACAAGAATCAAGGACTCCTGGTTGGGCTTATTGTTGAAGGTACCATCTTCTATCACAGAGGTCATGAAACTTGGGGCCAAACAAAAGGGCATTTGTTGCTGGAAGATAGATGTTCTGCTCACTCAGGAACCAAGATCACTTCAAAGTTTGCTTGGCTTGGTGGGAAGCTGTTACCAAGGAGAAGAGTCCCTGTGTCCCAACTGCCCATAAATATGTCTCCAATCAGTAGCAAGGAGTTGTGCAAAATGGCTGTAGTAGCTGGAGCAGGGGGCTGGAGACTCAGGAAGTGGATGTGTCTCCTTCCATAGCACTGACTGCGCCAGGAAGGATTCCACATCCCGGCTGGCCAAGACAAACAACAGTCCAGCACTGGTGGGGAGGCAGCCATCAGGGAACAGCTGAACCACCATGGTCATCCAGCCTCTCAAAGACTGTCACCGCAAGAGCAAAGCCAGGGCCTGCGGTTTCCTGTCGTCCTCTCTGGGACACAGCTCAGTCTTCCAATGACTCATGGCCAGTGGCGTGCAAAGATTTCACGTCCCATCTCCAACAGAGCCCAACCTGTGCAGAACCATGGCTGTTCCCACTGCTTCTGCCTCCTGGATTGCTTAATGAGGGGATTAACGATATCCAGGATGTGAGTGGACCTCTTCAAATGAGCAGCCTGGCCATAAAACTGGCTGTGTGCAGGCAAGAAAAAACAAAGCAGGGGTTGGGTACTGCTCAGCAGCCCTGCACCAAGGCTTCCGTGTCTCAAGTCTTCTGGTCATGTGGGGAGAGGAGAGGAAACTGAAATTTATTAACTTCAGGCCTCTAGAGAGATGATGAGGCTCAGTGGTTAAGAGTGTGGTCATCAGATTGCATCTGGCCTTATTATTTCCTAATGGCTTAGTGATCTTGGGAAGTTCCTCAGCCACTCTGCACTTGAATCTTTTCATTCAGAAAAAGGAGATGATAGTGGTATCTACTGCATTAGATGGTTTTGAAGATCAAATGGAGATTTATAAATGTCGTTTGGTAAATGTTAGCTTTCGTCATTGTTATTTTCACCACATTGATACTCAAGTTTAATTGGTGGTGGGAGCTGAAGAACAGTGGAAATGACTTCTGAGGGAATTCACACCAATTACAGAGTAGGTGCTTTGCGGAAATTGAACACCAGAGTCCAGTTATTAATTGGAAGAGAGCCTTGATCCTAGTACCGGCTGTGTTCTGTGGATGATTGAGCCTAAAGACCCTTTGTGATCGGTGGTAACTCAGGAACAGACTGGTCACGGTGACAGTCTCACATCACACTTGGAAACGCTATTAATAATCCAACCCCCAACCACACCCAAGCTGCCTCTTCAGTTCTACTAAAATTTGTTGAAGGCTTGTCACATGACAGGCACTACTGGCATGGTGGGGAGGGTGGGGCATGAATATAACAGATAGGTTTAACACATGGCCCCTGTTTCAAAACGGGAACAGAAGAGATGAATACAAGTACACTCAACTAACACCATGCAGCAAATCATTGCTCCGGTGCGAAGACAAACTACATGCAAGGCACACAGGGAGAGACTGCTTCTGAATGGGGATGTCTGTGAAGTCTTCTTGGAGGATGTGTGTTTTGAGATGTGAAGAGGAGGCAAACAGTGTAGTTAAAGAGATCATCTTTTGCAAAAGTAGTAGCCTAGAGTAGATGAAAGGGATAAACTGAAAGATAAAGTTGGGAAGGTTGGAGAAGACTATATTTTATATAGTTCTGATAGGCTTAAAGATTTGGATTTTGTTATTTATATAGGGAAGCAATATGCCTTGGGAATAGAAGCTCAGGCATTGACTCTGAAATGTATTTGAGTCATGGCTGTACTTCGTTCACATGATGTGACCTTAGAAAAACATTTCACTCTCTGGACCTCAGACTC